TTTGTTCGTTCATTCATTTGTTTTGAGACTAGGTCTCTGTGTAGCCCCAGCTGGCCTGGAACTAGCTATGTAGACTGGCTGGCCTTGATCTCAAAGAGATCCACCTGCCTCTGCCTCTTAAGTTCTGGGATTAAAGGTATGCACCACTAGATACTGTTTTTAAACAAATACAAGGGCATTGTTATAAAAAGCTCTTTCCAAGCTCTTGTCTTGAAAAGGTATACAATAACTCCTATGATCTTAGTTCAAATATTTTTGGATGATTGGCCTTTAAAATATTCTTACTCATACTGCATTGTATATCAGTGCATCCTAGACAAGGAATTTCCTACTCATGACCTTTCTGGAGTTGTCATTTATGATCTGTGGCTTGGCTGTATCTGAAAGTTTTGGCACTTAGCTAATCAGAAGTAGCCATTATGTATGTTTAAATCATTTATCAGCATTCAGCAGGCTAAGGGCAGAGGATCATGAGTTTGAGACCAGTGTGGGCTACATGATGAGTCCGAGAGAGAGAGAGAGAGAGAGAGAGAGAGAGAGAGAGAGAGAGATTATTCCTCTGGGGTAGGGGAGAGAGAGAGAGAGAGGGAAAGAGAGGAGAAAGAGAAATAGTTTTAGATTTCTACCTTACGTTTTTTGTTTGTTTGTTGTTGTTGCTGTTGTTGGTCTCAAGCTCACAGAGGTCCATCTGCTTCTGCTCCCAAGTACTGGAATTAAAGACTTGCATCACCATACCCAGTAACATCTTGTTTTTTGAAAACAATTATTTTATTTTATGTGTATGAGTGTTTTGCCTGCATGTAGGTGCACCTGTGTTATGCAATGCCCATGGAGGCCATAAGAGGGTATTAGATACCCTGGAACTGAAGTTAAGGATGGTTGTTAGTGCCATATGGGTGCTGGGAACCGAACTCAGGTCCTTTCTAAGACCAGTGTTCTTAACCTGAGTCATCTCTCTAGGCCCCCATTCTGTTTTTTTTTTTTTTTTTTTTTAAAAAAACTTTTACATTTATTTGTGTGTATGTGTGTACACCATGGCATGCAGAGGTCACAAGACAATTTGTGGGAGCTTGTTCTCTCCTTTTACCATGTGAATTCTAGGATTGGAATTCAGGCTGTCATGCTCAGAGGCAAGGGCCTTTACCCAATGAACCATCTCTCTAGCCCCACCTTCTGCTCTTAGGGATGTTCTTTGTGATTGCTTTATTCATTTCATATACAAACAACATTCATGTGCAAAATTTGCAGCAGCATCACAAAGTCTTCTTGTCCAATGTTGCCTTTGAGAGTTTGCTGAACAAACATCAAGAGGGAGGAGCGAACTTCAGTGTCTCTCAGGGTCCCTGAACACCTTTTCCAAAAGAAAAAGCTGCATTTCACTGTCAGCACTTGGAAGGGTTTGGAGGAATATGGCAGGATGTGGGAGAGGTGACTGATGAGTTCGTCCTGGGTTTGTGATCCAGTCTTGACTTTCCAGAATTCCAAATGGGGTTTTCTGACTCCTGTCTTGGGAAGAATGAGGAAAAGCCCCTGCCAAATTGAGTTCACCTGATTTTGGTGGAATATACTTCTTCATAACATGTTATGATACAGAATAGAATGGAATGGAATAGAATGGAATAAAATGAAATAGAATAATAGAAAAGAACAGAGTTATCACTGTGAAAACAGCCTTATCATTAGGAAAAAAATATCATAATATTCAGAGAATATGGGATCTTGATTCTTTTTTCCACAATATTGAAGACTATTAATAGAAAAATTTATTATTTTTCTTCCAACCTTAACACCCATCAACTTCCTGGGGTTACGAGCTCTCAGTTCAAAGGATGTTCTGCAACGATAGCCATCATGAACATGGCACAGCACATGCCAGGTGCAGATTCAAATGATTTTGCATTTTCCTCCCTTCTCACAACTCTGTGACATTGGTACTATGACCCCTGTGTATGAAAGTTTAAGTTATGTGCCAAAATTAAGCAATGGGGCAGAGTCAGGGTTTAAACCTCAAGAATAGAGCCCAGTATCTGAGCCTTTAACTTAGGTGGTTGCTAGGCAGCAGGAAGAAAGGTCTTGATTTTCTATAGGCAATGGTGGACTCATTCTCATAGTACATTAAAGTGCTGTCCTTAACACTGCACACATTTGTCATAGGACATGGAGAAATCAAGTTGGTATTGACCATGAAGCTTCTTCCCTGCTGGCTAGCTTGCATAGTGCCAGAATGTGCTATGCTGTCTTCTGGAGGGAAAAAGCCATCAACAGTCTTACCCAGCTGTGAATCCTGTGAAATGCAATAATGGCCAATGTGGTAAGATATACTCAGGGATGCAATAGTGGCATAAATGTTGTGGGAGTAACCAACTGCTTTCTGGTAGTATTTAAGGCCTGCTCCAAAGGAGGAAACATGCCTAGTATTGTAAATCTGGCCAAGAACCCATGGTTGGGGTGCTCACAGGCCACAAGGATGAACCAACTATTACTATTCTGCTGAATAGACATAATATTAAACTGTCCTCTAAATTCTTATCTCCATACCCACATATTACTGCAGCTTTCAGACCTCATCAGAAGTTTCTTTGTGCAGTGAATAGTGGTTAATGTAAACACTCATAACTGGTCAAAGTACAGAGAATAAGTGTCAGTGGAGAGCTCAGCCACAAATGAGCTCAATATCACACCCACCTCACAAGGCTCAGGCACCATTGAGGAATGGGAGCAGAAAGATTGTAAGAGCCAGAGGTCAGGGAGGACTAGGGGAAAACATGCCTTCAGAATATGACAGAACTTCTGCACTCATGAACTGTAGGCAGCTCTGGTTGCCTGCAGAAGATCTGCACAAGGTCAAGCAGGTCAACAATTCTAGCATGGAGAGGGAAAGGGTTCACAAGTCCCCATCCCTAAATCAACAGCTATGAATAGCTAATGGTTTAAGGAAGAGGGGCAGTCAGTTTTCTTTAAAGGTGTGACCCCTGGCATGTCTACTGCATTCTAGTGGGTGGTCCCACACCTGTGAGTGTATGAGCAGCACAAATGAGACTCCATGGGTTATTTAAAAAAATGACTTGGTCTATATAGTGATTTACCAGGCCAGTTGGGGCTAAAAGGGAAGACATTGTCTTAGAACAACAACAAAAACAAAACAACAACATAAAGGACATGAAGTTAGAGTAGGGTGGAGAAGCAGGGGTGAATCACGAAGGAGTTAGGAGGAATAATTTGGGGTGAATATGATCAAAATACATTGTATGAAATTCAGAAAAAATTAATAAAAAATATATTTTTAGAAAGTGGAGCCCTGGGGCTGGAGAGATGGCTCAGTGGTTAAGAACACTGACTGTTCTTGCAGAAGACCTGGGTTCAAATCCTAGCACCCACATGGCAGCTAACAACTGCCTGTAACTCCAGTTCCAGGGAATCTGACAGTCTCTTCTATTCTCAGCGGGCATTGCATGACACAGGTGCACATGCCTACATACAGGCAATACATGCATACACATAAAATAAAAATAATAAATAAAATATTTTTTAAAAGTGGAGCCCTTACTCTTCAAGAAAAATGAGAAATTAAAAGGGTATATAGAGAAGAAAAAACATTTGCTTTTGTGATGGCTCTAAGAAAAAATAATTCTTCAAGAGTATAAGTCAAATGAATTGTTGCACAAAAGGTCACAAATGGCCAAAGTGTAGTGATTAAGAGACTGCAGAATGCTGGTTCTTGGACAGGACTCCTAAATTAAACTTCACCCACTCAGGGCTCAAGGGACCATTGCAGAAGAGGGAGCAGAAAGACTGTAAGAGCTAGTAAGGAGGTGCATGACCATATGGAAATAGAGTCCTACAAGCTCCTGGGATCCTGCTCATATGAACCTACAGCAATGTTGTCAGCATGCACAAGACCCATGCAAAGTCAAGGAGACAAAAACCCAGTATAGAACTGGGGAAATGGACAGCAGACTCCAATCTTAGCTGAAGAAATATTGGCAACCGATTACTGCTGGGTGAGGAAGAGCTGATCTTCCTAAGTGAGGGTCTCTAGATAGGCTGACTAGACTTCAGTAGTAGAACTTGTACTAAGGAACAAGTGGGGACACTAACTTGACACAATAGGCCTTAAGATGAATGACAGAATGTATGAATTCCAGTGGGGGGGGTCTATGGGAGGATGCCAGTGGGGAAGGGGGTACAAAGATGACCAAGATTGATTGAGATGCTCTATATGAAATACACAAAAATTCAATTTTTTAAAAAATTTATGAAAATAGCTAGTCTTCTTGCCGAAAATAGCTAGTTTATATTGAGAATATCTTATCTACAATGAAAACTAGGTCAGTGGAACTGGGTGGAAACTTTCCTCTCCTTTAGTGAAAGGGAAACATCCCTGGAGTTAGCTGAGAAAGAAACTGGGGCAGGTCTGAGAAAGACTGGTGGGGTTCAGTTCCTACAATCCTCATAGTTAAGTATGAAAAGTGAAATTACACACGGGGCTGTTTTTTCTTGGTTATAAGCAGATCAGGCAGCAAGCCCCCAAGAGTTTCCATAATCCTCGTCCTAGTCTTTCTAAAATTCTTCCATCTGAATGACTCAAGATATAGGACTGCTAACTAAAATCACTCAGGTACCAGCGACGGACAGGAAGCATGGTAAATGTGGCCTGGGGCATCTCAAAGTTTGCAAGTGAAACCAAAAGTCTAAAACCCATGATCTTGTTAAACTACTATAAGAAAGGAGAGAAAAGTGACACCGTTATATAAAGTCTCTGAGTTTATCCTTCCCTCCTTTTGTTCAGAGTTTCAAGATATAGTAGCTACTGGGTGAAAAGTTTAACAACAATTGAAAAAAGAAAAAAACAGATTTAGCTTTAGAGTCAAGGTAAAAGCACATGAGATTTATAAGATTATTTTTATTAAGCTTATTTGAAAAATTATTTCATTTTAAGTCTCTTCACATTAAAGTGTGAAAGAAGTAGTTCATGGTAAAACAAATTACCATTTCCAAAACCAGCTTTTTAGTATCGCTAGTTATGTGTGTTTTCAACTTTCAATGCCTGTCTACTGCCTGTTGCTGTCTACTAATAACCAGCACACAATTGTTCAAAGTAAAGTCTGACTCAAACTGGACTATGGAGCTGCAGACTAGAAAGAATGAGATAAACTTGGAAAAATCAAGCCAACACCAACAGCCAGAAAAAGTGCATTTGTTATTTACATACTGAATTTACAAAGGCTAAGTTAACACAGAGGGATGTTCACATGTGAGTGAATATTAATATTTTAAAATTGCATATATGTTTATATGAAACAAAGTAAAAAGATAAATTTTAAATAAATGTTATCTGTGAAAAATACAGAAAATGTGTCTGACACAAACTTCAGTCTGAGTGCTTGTTCAACATTGAGCACGTAAAAATATTTGGAAAAATTATCCCAAAATACATATCTGGTGAAAGGTGTAAAAGGCGAAATAGATAAGGGAATTGTAAGTGTTCAGTGTGATTTTAATAAGTAGGGGAAGTGACAGAGAAAAGGTTTCCACGTAGGCAGGAATCACACAGTATAAATCAGATGAAGGATCAGAAGTGAAAGAAGTCCAGTTTTACCCACGGTCAACACCACTCAAAATGGAATAGAACCAAGGAACTTTCAGGATAGGGTGAAGGAAGGTAAGTTTTAATCATGTGTTCATCCTGTTAGATACCAATTGACTTCCTCCTCCAGTCATTACAACATTGGAACACATCCGTTCCTTTTTTGGGATGCAGAGTACAATGCGACATAAGGTGACGTCCCATAACCTCAGCAGGTATCTTTCTCCATTAAAGAACCACTGGAAGTTAGCGACTATCCTTCCAGGCTAGAGTTGGGTTCGAAGTCTTGCACCTCCCACTTCTTTCTCTCCCTTTGAGTTCTATAAGGAGTTGGGACCCTCTCTCTCCACACAGTACAGATGGCCTGGTCTTTTGGCACTGGTCCTGGATGTGGTTCCTGCAGGGGACGAGCAGTGGCCGCCAGGGGCAGCTGCTAGTTGATGCACGGGCAACAGCAGCAGCAGATGGTCCGGCACGGGTTCTTCTTCTTGTACTGCACTGCCTTGCGCACCTGCGCCTTGGCCTCGCCGGTGTAGTCAAGGGTCTGCTGTACGTTGAGCTCGATGACATTCAGCGTGTCCGCCTGCTTCTCCACCAGCACTGCCATCTGCAGGAAGAGCTCGTGCACGTCGCGGATGCGGCTCTCCAGCTTCAGCAGCTCGCGGTGGCGGCTCTCAATCTCGTTGAGAGCAGCCCGCGCGCCCTTCACGTCCGCAAGCAGGTTCTCGGAGAACACGTCCCACTTGCCCTGTTCGAACATGTCCTCGATCTGCTCACCCGACACGTCCTTGCCCATGATCTCCAGCTGGCGCTGGATGCGGATCTTGCAGTTGTCGCGCTGCTTCATCTCTGCCTGGTTGTACTCGTGCATGGCCTGCTGGAAGGCAAGGGCCAACGCGCTGTACTGTGCGTGCCAGATGCGCGCCACCACCGAATGGGTGCCGTGCCGGGCCTCGGCCTCCTCGCCCAGCTCCTTCATGGAGCGCAGTTTCAGGTGGATACCCTCGCCTCGGGTCTTGATGGCCTTAGCGATGGAGTTGGTGTCACGCTTGATGCTGCTAAGGCGCCGCATGGATGTGAGGAAGCGGACATTCTGTTTCCCCAGCCGCCTCACATCGGCCATCAGCAGCTGGTTTTCAACCTGAATGTCCTGGATGACCCGGTACAAGGACTCCAGCATGTGGTCCGTCTCAAACACGATGTCTTCACGAACACTGTCAAAGTCATCGTCCCCGTCTGGGAATTGCTGGTCATAGCTCCTGGACAACTCCAGTAGTTCTGCAAGTCGGTCTTTCATTTTGTCTATAAGTAGAGACAACAGATTCCTCTAGTGAGAGTCAAATCTTTGCATTCAGAGGGGAATTAAAGCTTAAAATAAAGACATACTCTGCACACCTAATTCCTCGTTCCTGGGTGCATTAAAGCAGCTAAATGTCCTATGACATTTTAGTTACAAGTAAAGAAATACTTTGGCTCAGGCTAGGGGATGTGGTAGGCATCTGTAGTTCAATTTCAAATATACATTTATTTTAAGACATATGAAAAGGTGCACGGAGCTCATAAAAAGTATGCATATTTTATCACCATGGTTTCTTTACAGAAAAAGGAATGACTTCAGTGCATTCAGGGACTGGCAGCTGCATAAGTCACTCTAAAGAGATGAAAACCACTTGTGCTGGCTCAGAAAGTAGGTAAAGAGAGAAGAAAGTGCAACATTCCCACATATGATCTGAACTAGACTCGAACACTATGCCATCAAAATGCTAATAGTGCCTTTCCTTGAATCATGGGATAATACATAATTTTTACTAGTTCTTTATACTATTCCATATTTTCCA